GTTATGGATGTTGTATTTTCTTTTTACCAATAAAATCTTTATTAAAAAAAAAAAATTGAATGCATTTGACAAGTATTAAGTTATTGGAAGTTGGCGAAACTTTTATTGAGGAGAGCATTCCAAAGGATATCCAATATTTTTGAGAGCTTTATCTTTGTTATTAAGAAGCTAAACTATATTTTCAATAAAAAAAATTTTTTTTTCATCTAAGCCTATTTGTTCACCAATAAAGTTCAGTTTGTTCATTCCATGTTTATCCAAATAGTAACAGAATTGTGAAAGCTTTGTCCTGAAAAAAAAATTGACCAGTTCTGGATATCCTAGTCTGGTCATAATGACTAATCACATTGTCATTATGTACATTATGTATATGGGTGTGAAGATTATTTCTTAAAATATAATTATATAATTATAAATATATATAATATATAAATATATAAAAATATAATTAACTAATAGAGCAGCAATTACCTATCCTGATCTTCAGTCTTTGCTTCAGGTATCCTGAATGGAATCTATCAGAATGGTATACAGGTGGTCCTCAAGTTATGAACACAATTGAACCCAAAATTTATGTCACTAAGTGAAATATTTGTTAAGTGAGTTTTACAACCTTTCTTTCCACCATTGTTAAGTGAATCACTGCAATTGTTAACTTAGTTGTTAAATGAATTTGGCTTCCCCATTGACTTTGCTTGTCAGAAGGTTGCAAAAGCTAATCATGTGACCCCGGGACATTGTAGCCATCATACAAATGAGTCAGTGGACAAACGTCTCAATTTTAATCATGTGACCATGATTGTGTGAAAAACGAACATGTCACTTTTTTCAGTGATGTAATTTAGAACAGTCACTAAATGAACCATTGTAAGTCAAGGACTGCCTGTAATTACCTGTAATCTACCTTCCTTTAAGCTATCAGAACAGAGATATAGATGACACATTATGTCATTTCCCCATGTATGGGGTTTCATATGACTTCCATCACCAACTGATCATGTTTATAGTAGAGGCGAGGACAATGATTGCTAACCTTTTTTGGATAGCATGCCAAAAGCGGGGGGAATTCAGGGAGGTCATGCATGGGTGTGCCTACACCCATAATGCTATGTGCGCGATCCCCCCACATGCATGCGTGTGACCAGCACAACCACCCTGCTTTTGGCGTGCTTTTCTTGCCCTCCCCAGGCTCCAGAGGCTTTCTAGGAGCCTGGGGAGGGCAAAGACAGCCTCCCCTCACAAAGGCTTCAGGAGGCTTCCCTGAAGGCTCCGGAGAGCAAAAAATGGTCCCGCGAGCAAACCAAAAGTGACTTCTGTTCGTTTCAGAACTTCCGGTTAGCCCATAGGTCTGGTTTTTCGTGCTCCGGAGGCTTCAAGGAAGCCTCCAGAGGGCGAAAAACAGCCTTAAAAGAAAGCTGAAGTCAGCTGGCCAGTGCGCACATGCACACTAGAGCTGACAGGGCAACACCTCACATGCCCTAATAAATGGTTCTGTGTGCCACCTATGGCACGCGTGTCATAGATTTGCCATCACGGGGCTAGGAAAAAAGTAATGAGCATTTTTGGCAGTATTTATGCAACCTCACTTTCAAGTACAAATGGTCCTTGACTTACGATCACAATTGAGCCTATCATTTCTGTTAAGTGAGACATATTAGTTTTGCCTTGTTTTACAACCTTTCTTGCCATAGCCGTTAAGTGAATCACTGCAGTTGATAAGTTACTAACCCAGTTGTTAAGAGAATCTGGCTTCCCCATTGACTTGGCTTGTCAGAAGGTTGCAAAAGGTGATCACATGACCTTGGGACACAGCAACTGTCGTAAGCACGAACCAATTGCCAGAATCTGAATTTTGATCACATGACCATGGGGATGCTGCAACGGTCCTGAGTGTGAAAAACAGTCATAAGTCACTTTTGTCAGTGCCGTTGTAACTTTGAATGGTCACTAAATGAACTGTTGAGGACTACCTGTACAAGCATCTTCAGATTTTACTGGGGAATTAAAACTAAGCTTATAAGAGACAACTATTATATGTATCCTAGGCAAAAAGCAGTTAAGACTATTACATGTTAGAGGGATTAAATATTTAAAAAGCAATAGTATGTCAATGCTTTATCTTTTTGGAAAAGATATTGGTTCGGCACCATAACTCGAGTCTTTAGCACAGTACAATGCATTTCATTTTCATTCACATTCATTTTGAAAAGAAGTAAACCCATAAAAAGCTTGAATGCAGAAATAAATGATGAATGGTTGGCTTCACCACCACTCAGCATGGCTCCAAGAATGATTGCTGGAGGCAACTTTACAATGGGAAATCTGTAAAGCAAACACCTTTGCTTTTTGCATTTGAAGAACTTTTCAGTAATAAACATGTATTACTACAGTACATAAACATGTATTGCTGTTTCAGCTATCACCATCTGGTGGATGTCTGGATTTGTGAAGATAACTTGAATAACCAATAAATATATCTAAAGGAATCCACATTTAATAAGGGAATTGTAATTTACATTTACAGAGTTTTTTTGAAGAATATGAAGCACTTAAAGTTGTATTTATAATTGGTATTATTTTTCTGGTATTTCAGACCTTAGCTGAAAGCTTGGATTACAGACATTGCAGCTCACTTTTGAGTAACTGTTGTACTGACAAGTGATGCCTCAAATCATTTTAGTTTGATACAGAAATTAGGCTTATAGAAATGAGCTAATAGATTGTTCCCTGTTTTAATTTCCCAGCCACATCAACAGTGGCAACACATAGTGAACCTTGGATATTCTAAAAAATTTAAACAGGATCTCATCCATAGAATCCTGGAGCTAAGAAAAAACATCTCAGAAGATAACTGGAAAACTATTTCTCTGTCAAGACATAAAACATCATGGACATGTTTCAATGAATCACTGAGTCAAACTCAATTTGAATGAGACTTCATTTTTATTAGTTTTCTCACTGAAGAATACAGATAATACAGACTGTGGTAGAATGTTTTGCCTATAGTACTGTAAATGCAGTTTGAACTTTTTTCCCTATTGCCCAGAATTCTTCCCAGTAGATGAGCAGTAATATACATTTGCTTAGTAAATAAATACATTTTAAAAATCTTAAGATCCTTGCCAGCTTTCAAAAGCAACTTCACGGTTATATGACTTTCCACAATGCTACAAGAAGCATTGCACAGAATTTAAGTCAGATGGGTTGAAACACAGATGAAATACGGAAGACAGACAAAAGGAAACCAGACTTGGGGGTAGAATATGTGCCAAAATCCTTCCTCCCTATTCCCTATCTTTTGACTTCCCTTCCCTATTGAAACAAGTTGATCAAAACAATTTCCCATCTTCAAATAACTTGCATTGTCCAAAACCAGTTTCCGTTATTATCGATGGACACTGTTTAAAACAAAATTCCAATGTTGAAAGGCAGATGACAATATAGGAATATTAAATCCTAATTGCACAGTGAGGATGTGTACATATGTGTGTGTCTGAAGGTGCAAATGATTCCCCCACAGTAGGACCTCATCATTTCCCCAGTATAACACCAAAAGTGCCCTCTACTTACTTATAGGGCATTTTGGATTCAGGATATTTATTGCACATGTCAACTGAATGAAAGTTGAATGCTATAATTTGGGCTAAGTAAAATTGTTCTTGCTTGAGACTCACAGACTCAAAAAGGGACCAGACTACCACTTTATGAAGGAAACATATATGCATATATGGTAACAGATGCTTGGACTTTCATATTCCTTTTTGATCATTACTTTCCATGTGGATTATGTCCAGGTTCAGTTTTGCTTCTTATGCACACAAGAGGGCAAAACAGAGCACTGTAAATCCAAGTTCAATATGATAAGTTGGCCAAAGAAGTTAGAAGGTTTTATTTTACATATTACTGATTTATTCTCTGCTTCAAACATGATGTGCATATTGCAACTGAAATTTTAACTAGTGCAAAGATAAAATCAGATAACATTTTTGAATAATACTGAAAAATGTTTAAGAAATAATGAACTTGATCACAGCAAAACAAAAAATTTCTGCCTGAAGTTCTTCAGGGACCCCTGGCCTTCAGCTTCGACAAAAGCATTTCATTTTTACGGCATTCCTGTTGATGCAAAAGAGACAGGTGGGTGCTTCAAAATTTAAAAGAGACATCTAGGATAAACAAGGCTAGTCCTGCCTGGCATTATGCTGTGACCCACAGGTTGGGGACTCCTGTGATTAGGAACAAAACCGCACAAAAGTCACTTGTTGAGATGTCTAGCTATAGAAATTAATCAATCAATCAAACAAATAATATTCTAAGTTCTGGTCTGTCATAATGCATGAACATAACAATCCCACATACTGCTTTCAGCTTTTAACTACCAAAATTAAATTCAGTGATTTCATAAGCTGCTTTATGTGACATTAGATGATAAAAGAATATATGGTGATTATCAAAAAAACTTTGTTGAAAAGCAACCCTATTTTAAAACATTATCAAGCTATGATATGTAAACCAACATCAAAAGTAATTTCTGATCCTTCACATAGCATAATCATTGTGAATATCATTGAAACCTGGTTTAAGGAATGACCTGAACTCTCTGAATAAAGTTTGGTTGTGCATTGTCTATTATATAGCTGTCACATTTTGCTGATTGTTCTTTCCTTTCTAAAACCCCAGTACAGTATCTGGAGTGGCAAGTTGCTCAGAACTCTAGTAGAGAAAATATAAATTATACCAGTTCCATAACCACCACCCCTCTTTTACCTCTTTAAATTCTTTGACTGTTTTGAAGTAAAGTCTCTGCTTCTCTAGCAGTTCCAAATATTCATCATTTAACTGGTCCCTTCTCATTTTGTTTTCTTGTTTTTTTCTCTCCAACTGTTGTAAGGAAAAAGAAAAAAGACAAATGAGACTATGCAACACTATTCAATACACAGTAACTACACCAAATCTACCTACCTACCTATCAAAAGAAATAAAAACTTCCAGATTTTTCTCCACCCTCCCTCCTCCCGAAAAACTACGTTCTACAGCATCTTAATCTGTAAATCTTTAAAAAGGGAAATGCGGAAAACAGGCAGACCCTGAAAGATCATATAATAAAGTTCTATAAGCTCCTCAATACCCTAACTCTTTTACCTGTGTTGTATCTTTCCTTGCTCCTTCTGCTTAAAAAAATAGAACTTAGAAAAACTCTTGAGCCTCCATTTTCACAATCCATATTTATATAAAAATCTAGATCAAAGGGACTTTTACTCTTCTCTCACAGTCAGTTTCTGTCCTACCCGAATCCACAATGGATCAAATGAAGTTTAGCCAGAACAAAGCAGAGCAGATCATATTTGATTCAAGCACTGGCTGCTTTGAACTACAACAGTCAAAACTGATTAAGTAAAACTAAATGCTTTGCAATATCATCCAGTTTGTTAATTTACAGCAAGGGATCACGTTCAAATAATATAAGGTGCAGGCAGTATATTGAACAACTCTCTTATCTCATCCAAGAAAAACCCCTACAATTCCTTTGCCAAGATGAATTGCCATACTTCAGTGTAAAGGTTTTGACCTATCCAGCCTCAGATACCCCAATCAAGGCAAAATTTTCAGTGGCTGAACAGCTCTTAACCCTTCAGTTGAAATGTGCTTCTCTGAAAATGTTTGTTGCAATTTTCTGTAGCACATTGAGCTATGCTCATAATTAGAGGAAGCGAAAGGATACCAGCAAGGAATTCTACTGACATTTGAAAAAGGAAACATGCACACATATCAAATATCTAGAAAAGGCTATCTAACCTTCATTCGATTCTGTTTAATTCCTTCTACAATCTGTTCCATTTGTCGCAGGAATTGGTCTCGAGCACTAGGGGAAGCCATGGCTCTGAAAGGAAAAGAAAATGTTTTAGATGGCAGACACGAAGACTGAGAATGGAAAAGTGAAAAAGGAGATTTTTTGCCCACTTTATTTTTCTACAGCAATCTACAGTTAAAGGAGGATAGCATACATATATGTGTATGTGTAGATGTTCATTCTACTCTTTTTATGTAGTCTTATTTTCCTGCATTTGACATGTCCCTGCAGTTTTCTCTCCAAAGTTTTCAGAAGTGATTTGCCTTTGTTTGCTTCCTAGGGCTGAGACTGAGTGACTGGCCCAAGATCACTCAGCTCTGTGCCTAAGGTGAGATTAGAATTATGGTCTCCTGGTTTCTAGCTTGATGCCTTAACCACTATACCAAACTGGGTCTTTATATACTCAGTGGGTTATCATAAGCTTATGATAATAAACCACCCTATAATGAGAAGGAAGATGTAGACTTTACTTCATTAAAACATTATTTGGAAATTGTACCCTGCATCTATGAAAAGCAGAACTGAAAGTTTAGGGCTCTCAAACCTAAAGTCCATGGCCATATGTAACCTCATTGTAGCCATCCAGAATGCTTTGTAGACCCTGAGATACCACCTAAGTGATACCTAAGCAAAAGCACTGAACTAGATATCCAAGATGCACAACAGGGTAAGGAGTGGTCTGGTTCCCATAACTTGCCACAGTCCCATCCAATGGCTTTTCCAGCCTAGGAGATTATGGTTAAGTGGTCTCGCAAGTGATAACCTCAAAGCTGCTCACGGCAAATAGCTCCTGTTCTCAGACTCTGTGGCAGGTAATGCCTTTAGGTAAAGACGAGGAGGAAATGAAGTTTGGTCAGGAAGGAAAGATAGGAGATTAGGGCTGCCATGAGGAGAGGTAGTTGAAGAGGAGGAGTCCGGCCATCCCTCCGCACTACTCCCTGTCATAGGCAAGGGCTGGAAAAGGCAAAAAGCAAGCAAGAATTCTCTGCCCAGCAAAGAGAAGGAACAGAAAAGAAACCAAGGGACAAAACTATAACTCCAATCAAGAAGAGACCAGAAAAAGAAAAAGGCAGGATTTGGGCAGCCTGATATTTTTCCTACATTTCCTTCCTTCCTTCCTTCCTTCCTTCCTTCCTTCCTTCCTTCCTTCCTTCCTTCCTGCCTGCCT